AATCCCTCACAACTGGAACAGAATCAATACTGGGAGTCTCAGCACCGACATCCCTTACAAAGGCTAGATACGAAAGACAACCCTTCCTAACCATACACTGGGCTTTCAAGAATGAGATCACTCTACTGGGAACATAATCAGTCACTCCTCGCCACTCAATCCGTGGCACACTCGGTATAGCCAATGTTATTGTCTTAGTATGACAGTCCAGAATAGCACGACACGGAGATAGCCAATCCATGCCCAAAATGACATCGAAATCCACCATACACAATAATAAAAGATCCACATGGGTTTCTAGACCCCCAATAGTCATCACACACAACCAGTACATACGGTCTACAACAACAGTATCGCCCACCAGGGTAGATACATAAACAGGTGAAGCAAGAAACTCACGAGGCGTATCCAAATAACAAGCAAAGTATGATGACACATAAGAAAAGGTGGAACCAGGATCAAATAATACAGAGGCATCTCTGTGGCAAACTAAAATAATACCTATAATAAAAGCATCTGAAGCAATAACATCGGGTTTGCCTGGAAGTGAATAGAAATGGGCCTGACCGCCACCTGATCGACCTCCCCCTCTGGAGCGACCCCTAGCTGACTGACCTCCACCCTTAGCTAGATGGGCGGGTGGTGGTGAAGTAACTGGCGCTGAAGCCGATGACTGACCCCTCTGCTGAGATGAACTCGCAAGATGATGGGGGCACTGCCTCCACATATGACCCATCTCACCATACTCATAACAACTCCCAGGTGCTGGAGAAGGGGACTAAAGGGAACCCCTCGCACCGGAGTGACTAGCAAATGCACCTGGCATAGAAGAGCCCTAAATTGATGGAGCACGGGACAAACTCTGAGCTGGAAGGGCACTAAGTGAGGACTGGCCCTGATGAGAACTGTGAGAACCATGACCCGATGAAGCCCCACGATAACCTGGGCGAGCTGGCTGAGCATGTCTGAATGGACGGCCTCTGCCGTACTGAAACTGATCTCTCGAAGGAGTACCACTATAACTACCAAATCCTCGAGGCCTCTTGGCCTCCCTCTCCTTGCGCTCCTGCGATGAACAGACTCAATCTCCCGAGCAATGTCTACAACCTCCTCAAAGGTAGCACCAATCACCCTCTCCCTGGTCATGGGAATACAAAGCTGATAAGTGAGGCCATCAACAAACCTCCTAATCATCTCTCGATCTGTCAGAACCATCCAAATAGCATGACGAGCTAACTCGGAGAGCCTCATTTCGTACTGCGTCACAGTCATCTCTTCCTGATGCAACCACTCAAACTCCCTACGCAGCCCCTCACTACGGGACTGCGGCACAAACTTCTCCACAAAGAGAACGGAGAACTGTTGCCAGGTAAGATGTGCTGCACCAACAGGCTTAAGCCTCTCAAAAGCCTCCCACCAAGTGAAGGCAACTCCAGAAAACTGATAAGTAGTGAAAGCGACCCCGCTGGTCTCTAGAATACTCACTGTACGAAGCATCCTCTAAAACTTATCCAAGAAGCCCTGGGCATCCTCGCCCTCTGCACCACTGAAGGTCGGAGGCTGAAGCCTACCAAACCTCTCCAATCTACGCTGCTCATCCTCTACCATGGCAGGAACTACATATCCCTGGGCGGTTGTAACCAGTTGGGCAGGATGTTCCCCCGGCGTCTGAAGTCCCTGTACGACCTGCTCAGGTGTGCGAGCGACGGGAGTCTGATTTCCTCCCTCGGCCTGAGAAGTAGCTACGGCTGTAGTGGCTAAAACTGCCTGAGCTAGGCCAGTGCAAACTGATAAGATCTGATCCAAGGCCTCCTGAAGACCCGGAATCACAATGGGCACAACTGGTGCCTGAGCTGGTGCTGCTGGAGTGCCCATAACTGGGACCTGATCTTGAATTGGGGCGGCTAGTGGATCTGCAGGTGCTGCCCTGGCTGTTGTGCGGGCCACACCTCTACCCCTACCGCGATCACGACCGCGTCCTCAGCCTCTAGTGGCTATAACTGGTGGTACTGGTGTTCGTCCATCTTGGCCGGTAGCGCGTGTCCTCACCATCTGTGAGAGAATAGAACAACAGAAGTTTTCGGATCAACAAAGTCACACGACAAGAATTTCAAGAATACGAAGTTTTTCATAAAGGTTCTGCAGCCCCTCGAGGATAAAGACAGACGTCTCCGTAATGATCCTCGAGACTCTACTAAACCTGTTCATGACTCGTGAGACCTATGTAACCTAGGCTTTAATACCAACTTGTCACGACCCTAAACCCGGACCCGGTCGTGATGGTGCCTCTCGTGAAGACAAGGCCAGCCGACACTTCCCATATCCAATTATTAACAGTAAAACCATAAGGAATAAATCTAAAGCATGATAAGATAATCCAAAGTTAACAGATAATAGCATAATTCGCAGAAAATAACCTAACATAGCCCGATACCGGGGTGTCACTAGTCATAAGCATCTAACAAAACAGAATACTCCAAATATATATAACTACAGAGTTTAATACAGAAACTAAGAACAGGAAGGAATAAAATAGGGAAGAGCTTTGGGCTGCGAATGCCAACAGCTACCTAGAAACTCCTCGGATCTGCCTGAGCCAGAAATAATCAGCACTTAGGAACGGGACCAGATACGCCTGAATCTGCACACAAGGTGCAGGGAGTAAAGTGAGTACTCCAACTCAGTGAGTAATAATCATAAATAAAGACTGAAAGCAGGAAATCATGCAAGGCACAAAAGCATGCTATAATGAAGCAGTAAAACCATTAAAACAGTAAACTAGTGAAAGATAGGTAAAAATCCTTTAACTCAAATTTAACTTCATGAAAAGCCTTTTTCAACAATTAAGCAGGTAATTTGACAGTTCATTGTGAAAAAGAAACACATAAAAAGCTCGCCCCTCGGGCACAGTATCAATAATTCTGCCCCTCGAGCAACATCTCAGAACAATACCAGCCTCTCGGGCAATCACATAGAACAATACCAGTCTCTCTGGCTCAATCTCACATCACAATGGGTACTCGCGCTCACTCGGGGTGTACAAACTCTTGGAGGGGCCCCTTACGGCCCAAGCGCAATATCAAGTCACCTCGTGGTATCATCACTAGGCCCTCGGCCTCATAATCAGTATCAAATGTTTACTCACAACATAGGCCCTCGGCTTTACTCAGTCAAAATCCTCACAAGCCATTCAGGCAATAGTAAAACATGATTGTCAGCCCAAAAATATCATTTAAAAGATCATGTAAGTGTTAAAAGAGAGTAAAAAAGGCTGAGTACGAAAAACAGTGAAATATAACATGACTGAGTTCAAGTATAAAGTCAAAACAGTGAGAAAATACCAGCAAAAATCCTCGAAGGGTTCAAATAGTTGGCACAAGGCCCAAATATGGCATTCAGCCCAAATCATGATGATAGCAAATAGATTTCAATCAAATACGCGGTAAAATAGTCATTCGGGATGGACTAAGTCACAATCCCCAATAGTGCACGTCCCCACGCTCGTCATCAAGCATGTGCGTCACCTCAATATAGCACTACGATGTGCAATTCGGGGTTTCGAACCCTCAGAACATCATTTACAATCATTACTAACCTCGAACCGGTCAAATCTTTAGCTCGCGACACCTTTGACCCTCGAATCGGCCTCCACTTGCGTTGAATCTATCCAAAATCAGAACGAGGACGTCAAAATATGCTAAGGGAACGAAGCCCAAGTGAAAATAATCAAAATACGACACAAATCCCGAAATTACCAAAACCCGACCCCCGGGCCCATGTCTCAAAACTCAATAAAAATCACATCAACGGAATCCTTATCCTCCCACGAGTTCACACATACCAAGAACACTGAAATCGGAGTCCAAATGGCCCCTCAAATTCTCATTTTAAAGTCTCTTAATCTCAAGCCCTAATTCCTCAATTTTAGGCTTAGATTCTATGATTTATTAGGTAGATTTCACAATAGAATCGAGTTTTAAGTCCAAAATTCTTACCTCCAAGTGATTCCCCTTGAATCTCTCTTCAATCTCCTTCAAATAGCTCCAAAAACGACTAACAATGGAAGAAATAAACCCCACATTCGCGGACAAGACGACCTTTTAAACCTTCTGCCCAGGCCTGAAAATCCTTCTTCGCGAACACGGTCAAAGCCTCGCGTTCGCGAAGCACAAAAATAACCTTGACCAAATTCCTCTTTCGCGATCGCGACCACCACATCGCGAACGTGATGCTTTATTCAGATAGGCCTTCGCGAACGCGATGAATTAAATCCACTGAAACTCAGCCGCCCATTTTCTTCTATGCGAACGCGACACTACCCCGCGAACGCGATGCACAAACACTTAGCCATTCGCAAACGCAAAGGATTAAATTCCACCTTCATCAACTGACTCTTTGCGAACGTGAGGGTCCACTCGCGAACGCGAAGAGTAAAATACCTGCAACAGTTGAACAGAAATCTGCAACTTTTCTTTAACTCAAAATGGTCCGTTCAACCCTTCGAAACTCACCCGAGGCCCCCGGGACCTCAATCAAAGGCACCAATATATCCTAAAACCTTATTCAAACTTGTACCAATCTTCAAAACACCTCAAACAACATCAAATTGATCAAAACACATCGGATTCAAGCCTAAGTTTCCAAAAACTTTTAAATTTCGCTTTTGATCAAAAACCCAACCAAACCACATCCGAATGACCTGAAATTTTGCACACACATCCCAAATGACACAACAGATCTATTACAACTCTCGGAATTCCATTCTGACCCCTATATCAAAATCTCACCTACCAACCGAAAATCGCCAAAATATTAATTTCGCCAATTCAAGCCTAAATCTACTCCGAACCTCCAAAACTCATTCCGATCGCGCTCCTAAGTCCCAAATCACCTCCCGAAGCTAACCGTACCATCGGAACTCACATCCGAGCCCTCTAACACATAAGTCAACATTATGTTGACTTTTTCAACTTAAGCTTCCTCAAAAGAGACTAAGTGACTCAAACCTTACCAAAATCATTCCGGATTCGATCCGACCAACCCGATACCACATAACACGGATAAACAAAGTATAAAAAAGCAGAAATAGGGAAAACGAAACGGTAACTAATGAGACGATTGACCGGGTCATCACATGAAGAAGCTTGGTCACACATACTATAAGTTCCAGTTATTTCCACCAAGGTGTAAAATTTGCAAATACAGTACTTATATCGTTTCAAAATAATAATTAAAAAAAAAAGAAATTTTACCTAAACTACACGTAAGGCTTGACAAAATCTACGTGGACAGATGCTTCATTTTGAAGGAGCAGCATAGGGGAGACCTTTTCCACAGGGCACCGCTCTCTTCGTTTCATTCCATCTCAACAAACAAACATGCATTTCCATTTCCATTTGCATATAGAATAGAAACACACATTTTCACAGGGGACCTTTTCAAACACTTTGCAACAATGGAGAATTTCGATGGTGAAGAGATCCCGTCGACCACAAGTACCTTTGACGATCACAACTACAACGGCTACGACGTTCATTCCCAGCGTTACGAGTTCGACGTTCCCTCAGCCGATGATGGCGGTGTTCCTCCGCCGGTTCCATCTGATATAGACGATTTCTCCACCGGTGAACAGCAGCAACATTACTACCATCATGATAACATGCAGTCGCCGGAGAATAATGGCGAGTATCATAGTTCACCTTTTGAGACATCGGAGGATCATTATCAAGGATCTGGTGTGCAATCCAAGCCCTATGATCTCGGAACTGATACAGATGGCATTTTCTCCTCCGGTACTGATGGACCGTTGCTTCCCGATCCTACTGAGATGCGTGAAGAAGGTGCTGCTTTTCGCGAATGGCGTCGGTCAGTTTTCAAAACTGTAACTTTTGATCTTCAGATGATACATATCATTTGCCCATTACAGTGTGTATGCGTCTTTTTTGGGTCTAAAATATGCTGAATTATGTTTGATGAGCTTTTCTCATTTTTGGTTTTCAATTTTTTTGGATTTGTGCTTGAATTTAATTGCCTTAATACGCCCTTTATTGAGTCCTTGTATGACAAATATATACCCTTATCTCATAGTGGAATTAATTAATCAAGAGTCAAAAGGACTCATACTCTATATTATAATGCATGGAATTAAAGTGTATGTATCTTGAGAAGAGTTTTTAAGTTCTGTACAATGATGGTGTAAAAGATACTTACACAATTAGGTCACTTAAAATGTAATTATAGGTAAATTTATTTAATAACATTGATTGATAACCTAGAGAAAATAGTAAACAACTTGATAAAGCTGATTAAATTATACTGATGGTGCAAAAAATTCATTACTTCGTGGATATAACTTAAATCCTTTGAATATATAGAACAATCCCTCTAAATAGTGGATCTGCCTCTGAGCATGATTCTCCTAGAAGATGCTGTCAAGTTGTTAGAAATCCAACATTCTAGTCATATAAGCACACAGTAAAAGATCATATATACTAAAGCCCTCTTTTCATTAATTGCACTTACACTGGACATCCTCTTATGTAGAATATGGATAATGCAACCATATGCCAGTATACTCTAACTGCAATGTATAGTTAGTCCTTTTCATCCTTCGTACTGGTACAATTTCTCAGTTGATAACTGCTGACAATGGGGTTAAACTGCAAGTTCCCTCACTGTTGATATGCATCGGGATCACTAGCTCAAGTTTGCTGGTGCATTAGGAAATAAATGATGTGGTCCCTTTGGTATTTTATTTTGATAGTATGATATAGCTGAGCATCTATCATTCATTGAGGAGCTATATCATCGTTGAAGATGCATGACGGGGAAAATTTATTTGACTTTATGCGGTTAAAGGAACTAAACTAGGTAATTAATGCTGCTCGCAATGCAATATGTTTAATTTACGTGCAGTTAAAGTGTCTAGGTTCTTGAGGATTATCTGAGTAAAACATTTAAATAGGCCTTCTGAAGTGCATTGCTGTTTGATGATGTTTCTTGGTTAGGAAATATTCCTCAACCATGCATTAAATATTAAGAGATTCCAGTTACTTTTAGCTCAGTAAATCCAAAGGTCAATGTATTAAGTTTGTTCTTCGTCTTCATGGATTTGAATTATTATATTGCTATGAGAGACATCAGTAGTTAATCAAGTGAAAGACAGCGGCTAATGAATCTATGGATTTAAATTCTTTCTTCTTTTTTCATTCTTGAGTCACATTTGTTCAAAATCTCAAACATTAGAGCAATGGTCTGCTGATTTATACCAAAGATATATATCAGCTTGAAATGACAATTGTGTTTTTTTGTTGGATATAAGAGGAAAACACACTGGCAATGATGTGACTTTGTCATTTCGAAGTTTAGACTGTAGAATGTGCTGTTTTGTGAGTAAAACTCAACTTAGTTATTATAAAGTGTTAAGAATAAGTAATGGTGTTTTAGAGATATATTAGAAAGGAGGCATCAAGAGCAATTTCATTTTGTGTTAACTCCTTTCAGTCAAGAGGTTAAAAACACAGAATCATTCTGAAACTTGCTGGATGGTATCTGCAATGATTACCATACTTGATTTTCTATACGCTCGATATGAAAACAAAAAGAAAGTAACAACAGCTTCAAACTTGCAGTAAAAAATTTCCAAGGTGTCAAGGAGAACCAATAGCTTACTAAACTAAATTAACATCATATTACTAATTTGTAGCTAGAGTTTTGTATGTCCCTGGGTCATCTTGGATCAGTCATTGTGTGAAACGAGCCAGTCATCCCAGTAAGACTTCTAATCATCAGGAAAGAGGAGAGTATCGTAGTGGTGTTGGTGTAGTAGAGCAGAAGACAAACTTTATCGTATATGATCTTCAGTGAATATTAAATATCTAGCTCCCTATGTTTTGTGCTCAGCTCTGATTTTCTCATTGTTCCTTTCCTCTTTAGGTGATTTTTGAACAACAATCTGCTTTCTGGTTAATGTTATTATTATCGTCGTCAATGATTGTGATTTGGGGGGAGGGGGGAGGGGCAGATGACGACGGTCTGCTTTCTTGGTTAATGTTATTATTGTCATCATCAATGATTGTGATTGTGATTGTGATTGTGTTGTTCTGTTTCCGAAATGTCCTTTCTAAGATAAAATGTATGCATATAATGAATAGTTGCTTCCTCCCTCTTTTCTCTCCTGTCATTAAGCTTTGCTTCCTCTATTAATACACTGTTTTCACAACTGATCTCGTTACTGAGTTCAATAATTTAATTTTAGTTTTTAACATAATCAGAACCTGTTTTTTTCCCTTTCAGTGAGATTTTCAACAGGCTATGAATGATAAGTATCGTTTTTTTACAGAAAACACTGATGTTTAACTTACTTCTACGGTTAGAACTTCACATGATGTTAATTGGTCAAAATTTCTTCAGTTGCTTATTCAGTTGTGGATATTTAGCGAGGAACTGCATTTGGGACATCAAGGAGATTCGGATCAAATTCGGTTTCTTACAATGTTTATGACTGTATTACGCTATTTTACTTGATATACACCACGAGATATATACTGATGCCCATTGTTTTTACATGCATATAATGCTTGCCAAGATATGTTTGCAATCTGATAGTCTCCTGTCTATTTTCTGCAGCCAAAATGCCATTTATCTTGAGGAGAAGGAGAAGAAGGAAAAGGAAATGAGGAATCAGATTATCGCTGAAGCTGAGGAGTACATACGATCATTTTATGAGAAACGGAAGCTTAATTGCGAGACCAACAAATCTAATAACCGAGAAAGGGAGAAAGTAACTGCTCGCACTCAAACCTCTTATATGTTAAAACAGTAATTGATAGTAAATGACCATGCATGTGCTTTTGTGCAGTTGTACCTGGCCAACCAAGAGAAATTTCACAAAGAAGCTCACAAACAATACTTTAAAGCAATTGCAGAGATTATACCGCGTGAGGTCCCTAATATTGAGAAGAGGCGAGGCAAGAAGGAGGAAGAGAGGAAGCCATCAGTTGCAGTTATCCAGGGCCCAAAGCCTGGGAAACCCACTGACCTGTCTAGAATGCGCCAGCTTTTTGTCAAGCTGAAGCAGAACCCTCCACCACATATGCTACCTCCTCCTGAGAAAGACAAGGATGGTAAGGATGGAAAGGAAGGAAAGGATGCCAAGGATGCGAAGGAAGGAAAGGACGCCAAGGACATGAAGGAACGAAAGGATGCCAAAAATGAAAAGATTTCTACACCAAAGGAGGCTAAGGATGACAAAAATGAGAAAATCGCGACACCAAAGGTGGCTAAGGATGCCAAAAATGAGAAAAGTCCCATAGGAAAGGCAGTTAATGATGCCAAGAATGCGGAAAATGCCGCACAACAAGGATCTCCAGCTGCTGCTATTGACAAGGTTGTTTCACCAGTCAAGGATGCTGCACAACAAGGATCTCCAGCTGCTGCTATTGACAAGGTTGTTTCACCAGTCAAGGATGCTGCACAACAAGGATCTCCAGCTGCTGCTATTGACAAGCTTGTTTCACCAGTCAAGGATGCTGCACAACAAGGATCTCCGGCTGCTGCTAGTGTTGGTACTCCAAAAGGACCAAAGGCCGATACACCAACTTCAGTCGAAGGCGGACAAGCTGCAGAAAGTGATTCTGCCTCAACTGCATAAATAAGTTCCTAGTAATGCCTTTTCTCTCTTCTAGCCTAATTAATTCTTATTACACTGCTCTGGAGTTATTATCATTCATTCATTCTTTTTTCCTGTTGCTGTATGTCATGTTGCAAATAAGAGCGACTGGCCTTTGAGGACATATGTTCTGCAGCCAGGGACTTTCTTCCTGGTATGTTTTAGGCTTTTTTGCTTAGATGCGCGAAATGCGATGAGTTTGTTGTTCCCTTTTCCTTTATACAATTGGAAGTAGCTTTTGTAGCAGGAATTTCAGCTTGTTATTTGTGTGCTTCGAAGTTTTTTTCCTGGCTGGTTAATCTTTTAATTGAGGTTAAGAGAGCATTCTTCGGTGTTATGTCGCATCTACACACGACACATTCTTTTCGTTCGGCTAGTTTGTGAGTTTTTAACTAGTTCTCTTTACGTTACTTGAACAGAAACGAGCTTCGATGCAAGTTAGTCTCTTTATACCACAATTATTTTATTTAGTTTTTTGTTTTAGTGAAAGCTTCTGTTAATAATAATCAAAGAAAGCTACACGGTTTGGTCTAGAACTCTTAAATCAGATTTTACTTAAACTATAATACACTTTTAACCAGCTCATAAACAAGGAAAGAGAAGGTTAAAAAGGCCCAGCGGTAATGAAATATTTTCTTGTAAAGTGAACTGATATAATTTTACTTTGATGGTCAAGCTTGTCAAATTTTTCTCAGTTTAATTGGAATTTTGCAAATAAGAGTGTCTAAAACATAGGTGTTGCCATGGTATTTCAATCTTAGTTTTACATTTCCTGTAGTGTACCCTACAACGTTTTTCCCAGCTTCAATTTAGGTCCAATATCACTCCCTCCAGAAATTCATTATTTTTCATGAATATTTGATACAGTTGAGAATATCTTGTTGTTGGAGTTATGGACTTATCGATTAAAAGTGAAAAGAAAAAGTAGAATCCTGCATTGCGTAGGACTGTAATTTTTGTAGTTGGAGGTCTGTTGGTGGAAATTAGTTCTTTCCAATTGATAATTCTATTCTAACACAAGGTCAATGACCTGGTGGCAAGATAAGCAGGTAGAGATACTAGTTGAGCCTCACACATTAGGTCACTGTTATTTTCACTTTCCAGTACTTGAAGTTGGTCACATACTCTGTTCCCGGTTTCCAGCAAATAATATACCATGATCTATGTTTGATAACTGAATGCACCCTTAAGTTATTACTTTTAGTTTTAGCCCTTCCAATTCATACTCATATTTAGATGTACTGTTTGTGTTTATACAAATTTACATTGTAAAAGAACTTTTACACTATCAAATCATCTAAAACAAGATTGCAGGATGACAACCTGAAAAATAAGATAGATTACCCGCTTCAAGATTACAATACACGGATAGTGTAAATTTGTTTTAGATAATGTATTGTATTCTACAGGCTTCAAATCCACGTTAAGCCCTACTCCTAATAGTTTGATGTTGCAAGGACCAAAGAGTTGAATGTTTGTGCCCCTAATTTGTCCATCTCTACATAAATGTTAAAGAGAAATCTTGAGAATCTTAGCTAAGGGACCTCTTGGTCACGAGTGTGAATTCTCCTTTTATCTTGGGAGGATTTGGGCACATGCCCATTCACATGTATAGAACTGAGTGTCAGTTGATTCCAAATATGAAGTTAGAAGTAGTAACTGTTTTGTAATTGGGACCGCTTCCACGTGTGGACAAGATCATTCTTGTCACTAAGTTCTTTACTCTTATTGCATGTGATAGAGGTGTGCGTTTCAGAACATATTTATGCTTTCATGACTATTGGCCACCCAATTGCTTTGCCCCAATCTTGAAGTTAAACCCCACCTAACTCCCCACCCACTCAC